GGCGGTTGGCGGCTGCCGCCGCACATACAGAGGCTCTGTGTTTTTCTTTCCTTCATTCTCAATTGCCGGTGCAGTGTGTAGTTTAGTAGAGTACCTCTCTCTTGTCTACTTTTACTTATTTTTGCTCTTTCATCTTTTGCGAGCGGTAATAGTCCCGGCATGTTGGTTTGTTCGGCTCTGTGCACGGTGCCGCCGTCTCTGCTGCCGTTGCTGCTGCTGCTGCTGCTGCTGTTGGCCACGTTCTTGTGTCTTAAATGAGCCACGGCGAGTCTGCAGAAGCAGAGGAGGAAGAAGAATTGAGGGTGAACAGTACTTTGTGGCAGTGGTGAGTACTAGGAGATGGAGAAAACTAAACGAAACGGTCTGAAAGCGGAGAAGGGCGAATTTGGGGAAAGTTAAAGTAAAATGGCAGCAGCAGTAAATGCAAAATGCCTTCCCTCTTCTTTTTCTTTTTTTGGGCCCCGCATCACAATGCAATTCCCGTGCAGTGTTTCCAATTGCTGCTGATGCTGATGGTGGTGATGGTGGTGGCGGTGGTGCCGTTTAAATTTGCCTATTTGAGGGCACTGGCAAATGGCAATGGAAACGATTCAAGGGAGTCTTAGTGGAAGAATACGAAGAAGTCACTAGCTCTGACTGTTCATTCTAGCAACAGCCACCACTACCACTTTTTTGGTGGTCCTCAAAAGGGCCATTGTTGTTGTTATTATTCAGCCATTATTATTGCCATTATTGTTGCAGCAGCAGCTCTGCTCTCCTCTAATGTCTCTTTTGGCAAATCATTTCGATTAGGCAGAAACGAGGGCAGACAGGCAAAAGAGCAAAAGGCAGCACAAAAGGAAAAAGAATAAGAAAAGGAGTCGCCAAAAGAGTAACTTTGTTTCCAGGAGCATGAGGAGCGGAAGGGCAGATTTAGCACGGAGAAAGAGGAGAAGAATCTGCTGATGTTTGCTCTTTCCTTTTTTCTTTCTTTTTTCCTCTTTCTGCTTATCACCTGGCGTCCAGTCAGGTGCTCCTGATTTTCCCTTTCACAGTGGTGACAATAATCACCGACAATCGGAAAAGGGAGAGAGAGATTTCTATTCAGGTTTAGGGTTGGGGGTCAAATGCAAAAGAATGCTTGGTAAATAGACTGTTTTTCCTGATTTGCTGATTCATTTTTTTTATTTTTTCTTTGCAGTTGATGAGCCTCAACTCTGACGTGCTGCCGCAGTACCGCCAGGAAGCGCCAAAGACACCTCCACATATCCTCCTGCACTACTGTGCGTTCAAGGCAATCTGGTAAGTTGAAGGGAAGAAGACTGACTGACTGACCAACTCTGACTCTATTAATAATGCCCATTTTTCCCTTCTTTTTATTTCAGGGACTGGGTCATACTCTGTCTTACCTTTTACACTGCCATTATGGTCCCCTACAATGTGGCGTTCAAGAATAAGACTTCGGAGGACGTCAGTCTTCTCGTACTTGACAGGTTCGTTGCTGTGTTTTTGGTGTTGTGTTCTTCTTGTTTTCTTTTCTTTTTCTCTTCCTCTCTTCTTGGCCGCCATCAGCTGTCAAACGCCGTAATCAGCCCGTCAGAGACGCCAAAAGAGAGGGAAAGCTCTCGCTCTTTCTTTCGTTTTGAGTGCATTGCATTTTGGTCGGTCAGTCAGTCTGTCTGTCGCTGCTCGGTCGCTCGCCAATTTGTCATCTTGGCCAATCATGAACGGTCGACGGCAAAAAAAGAGAGGGAGAAAGAGAGCGAGCCCGGCTGATTTCGTTATCGTTGTCAATCTTGCTTTCGCTTTTTCCGTTCTCTCTCTCTATCTTTCTTTATATATCTTGGTTGTCTGGGTTATTTTTTCTTCTCTTTCGATTGCCGGTGCTTGCTCGTTTTTCAGTTGCTAAGGCATTTTTAGCAGGCAGGAGAGAAGAAGGATCGGTCAAGCATCAAGTCGTGTGCGCGCACACTTTAGTTCAGTTCAATTTTCGTTCAGGAGACGAGTTTGTCGAATTTTTGCCTTCTTTTTTCTTCTTTGCCGCGCCTTTCAAGCGTGCTGCTTGGTATGTGAGTTTCGGTCGTTCAGAGAGTGGTCGCCTTCGCTGGTCGTCGTAGACGTCGTTTTAACTGAAAATTAAAAATTAATGAGTCTCTTGATTTTGATTTGCTAGGCTCCAAGCTTCAAGCAGCAGCAAAAGCAGCAGTTTTGTTTTGTCAGTTTTGTTTGCTGTTGCCCAAAGTTAGCTGGGGAGGACAGAGAAGCTCCAAAGCAAATATCGCGCCAAGATCCAAAAGAAATAGTTTATTTTTATTTCCTTCGCTCTTGTTCAGCTCTTGTTCAGCTCAGACAAACACACACAAACACACACACACACACAGAGACTACTTGTCGTCGTACTCTTCTTGTTCCTGGGACATTAAAATTAAAATAAATTGTCAAAAAACAAGCGCTAAATTGATTTGCGCTGCTGAAGGGACAGTGGAAAGGAAGAGCAGGCCGAGGTGTAGGGGATTAGTCTGTTGGGGACAGAGACAGAGACACGTCAATTACTGCCGCTTCTCGTACTTCACTGCTCGCCATCCGATTTGGACAGTGGTAGTACTCTTTGTACACTTTGGCTGCCCCTTGTTCTTGAGCAGAGCAGAGGAGGCCAAAATTAGAGAGGCAGTCAAAGATTAGCTTAGCATTTTGATGAACGGCGGCGGCAGAAGCAGCAGCAAACGCGGACGGGTTTGTTGTTGAGTCTCGTCGTCCGCTTTGTTAACAACTGACACACTCGTACAGAGGAGAAGACAACTGCAGAGAACGAAAAGGAATCTCTGAAGCTGCTGCTGCTTGAGCAAATAAAAAGAAGAGAAAGAGAGAGAGAAAGCGGAAGAAGATGAAGTAATGGGGGAGATGGCACTTGAGAGCGGCCAATTTGGCAGCAGTGCAATGCAGAGCCCATCCTCAGTGTTTGCTTGATTTCGGCTCACTGATCGGTGATCGAACATGGAAAAGGTGCACTGCTGCTGCTGCTGTTGCTGATAGAGAGTGCTTTCCAGGTTTTTTCGGTGCTTTCTGAAGTGGCCACTCGGTGAAGGAGGTGATGTGATTTTCTCTTTTATGTTCGAGTGTCTTCTTCCTCCTCCTCCTTCTCCTCCTCACACCTCACTTGGCTGAACATGATTTGCCGTTTTGTTCTTGCGCCTGGTTCGTTTGTAATGCTCTGTGTCTGTTTATCTTTTGTTGTCTAATTTGTAAAGCTTTTTTTCAATCTTGTTGTTGGCGCCCAAATGCAAGAGCGTTTTCAAAATTTTGGCCGTCATGTCCTTTCCGCACGCCCCCGGTGTCGGCCATTGTTGTTTTTTCGGCAGAGATTTTTAGGCAACCGTCACTCGAATTTTTTAGTTTTACACGTTTCTAATAGTTTCCATATGAAAACAGCTTTTTGCATTTTTTTACAACCAATTTGACCTGGAGCATTTAAAATTCTGATTTTGGTCTTAAAATAATCTTAAAGACCTTATCTTGAATCGTATGGAGAGGTTTTGGAAAATATTGTTTTTTACTATATTTTTAATTGAGTTGAAGTTTCAAAAAACGCGTGTTTTAACTTTGATCGGATATTAAAAAATTCTAAAACAATATTTTTCAAAACCCCTCCATACGATTCAAGATAAAGTCTTAAAGATTATTTTAAGACCAAAATCAGAATTTTAGGTGCTCCAAGGAAAAACAGTTGTAAAAAATGCAAAAAGTTGTTTTTATATGGAAACTATTAGAGACATGAAAAACTAAAAAGTTCGAGTGACGGTTGCCTTAAGTTCTTTTCACAGATTTGCAATGTTTTTCAAGTTCTGATTTTCTAATTCTCTTCTTTTCGTTCTTCTTTTCACCACTTCATCATCAACTTGCTGCAGTATTGTCGATGTGATATTTTTCATTGATATTGTGCTCAACTTTCACACCACTTTTGTCGGCCCCGGCGGCGAGGTGGTCTCCGACCCGAAGATCATTCGCGTCAACTACCTGCGCAGCTGGTTCGTCATTGACCTGCTCTCGTGCCTACCCTATGACATCTTCAACGCCTTCGACCACACCGAAGATGTAAGTGGAAAAGTGGATTCGTGATTGCCTTTGTCGAATTGTCGAAACTACTACTAAAATCGTTTTCATTCTTTTTTCATTTTTTAGCAAGGAATCGGTAGCCTCTTTAGCGCCTTAAAAGTCGTCCGCCTGCTTCGACTGGGCCGGGTGGTGCGCAAGCTCGACAGGTACCTCGAATACGGTAAGTTTGTCCGTTCCTTTTTCTTTCTGTACAGCTACCTTTCTATTTATTATTGCCAAATGAGAGAACCACAGTCAGCTGCTAGCTTTGTACTTTTTTAAATTAATGATGACAGTTGACAGTTGTGAGGAAGAAGAGGAAGAAAAAGTGTAATGAGTAACTGCTTGTCTTAGGACCAAGCTGCTGCTGCTGCTTCTGGTGACGACACCACCTCTGCCACAACCACTAGCATTTCCGATTTCAGGAAAGCTTTATAAAAAAAACAGTAAATGATAGCTAGCATAGTAGGTTGAATGAAAATGAGACTGCCACTGAAAGACCGAGAAAACAGGAGAGTGCCCAACCACTGTAACTTTAATGTGCTGATATTAGAAATTAAACACAAGCGCAGTCAAAAGCAAGGTTTGCAGAGTGGAAAGACAGGCGGCAAATTAGAAATAATGGTCCAATCGACGGCAGCAACAGCAGCTGAAGTCGTGGCGGTGGTTGGACACAAAAAATGCTTCTCTGACTTGCTTCGTTTTCGTCCTTTCCCTCTCTCTCTCTCTTTCTCTGTGCTCCAGTGGCCACTAGGGCCCCTCTCTCGCCCCTTGAATTACTTTTACCATTCTATTTGCCTCTCACACTACCCTCCTTTGCTTCCAACAGCAACAATGCATCCGAGCGAAGAGTAAATTAAAAGACAGCAGCAGCATCAGCAGCAGCAGCAGCAGCAGCAGCAGTCGTACTCACTCAAAGACAAACACACACACACACACAACCAGGGCAAGAAGTGAAAATAAAAGTTTTCTGCTGGCGAGTCTCACTGGCACCAGCGGGACATGCACATTGGGCATAGACACAGAGAATGAGACACAGTCACACAGTTTCCATTTCCAGGCAGGCAGGCAAAGTTGGTGCACGCATCAATTGGCGGCTGATTTATGCCCGGCTCACAGTCTGGCTGGCACTCGCTGCTCTGGTCTGCTGATAGAGGTTTTCGGATTTTTTTTAAAAGAAGACCATTGAATTTGGCCCTAACCCTCAAACTACTCTTAAGATTTGCACTTTTTTGTCTTGATTTAATAGTTGTTTTCCCCTACTTCTCAATTTTATTTGCTTAATTTTGACCAGAGTGGTATTTGCTAATTGGTGGCGGAAGCTTGCAGTGCTCAATTGCAGTTGCGCGCTGATTGTGGCCAGTGGGCGCAATTTTGCCTTCTCTGTCTTCCCCTATTGAAACACCCGTACTCCACTTTTGCCACCAATTAAACTGGAAATTGGGCTGTTGCCAGTGCTAGCAACAGACACACTGCCACTGGCAACAGCTCTCCTCCTCGCCGCTTGCCTCTTGATGATTGGCAAATTGGATACTAGGGAGAGAGGGGAGAAAGACTTGCTTTCCAATGATCAAGATGTCTTACATTGGTGGCGGTAGCAACAGCCACCACCACCACCACCACCACCACCACCGTCTTGAACAAGGGCAATTAAACCTGCCAATTTGCCGACGGTGTGTAACGTGATAGCTGCTGCCTCGACGTGTGCACTCAATGGACTGGAAGAGAGGGTTGCGATGGGGAAGCCTCTGTGCAAATAACCCACAAGCACACACCAGAACACGAGTACTTCTCCTGCTCACCCCCTTTGCCATTTCCCCTCTTGACAGCACACTGCTCGGGCAGAATTCGGGCAAGTTGCTGCTGCTACTGCAACCACCTGAAAATCAGTCTCCAGTAGCCCGGCAACGCCGAAAAAAATGTCGCCGCTACGCTGACAGATAGATCTGCCCTTCTCTTTTTTATTTGTTCTCCTTTCTTTTTGGAGATCTTTTTTCCCTCCTTACTCTCCGATGTCGAGGCAGTTGATCTCAGTGGCTGCTGCTGCTGCTGCCGCTGTCTTCTTATAAATATTACATTTTTATAGCATGCCAGCAGCATAGACCCGGCCGGACCGGCTCTGTTCTGTCCTCAGCCATGAGCCCCACACACACACTGAAGCCACGAGTCTGAGAGGTCTCTCCGTTTTTATCTTTTTTTTTGCTTTCTTGTCGTATTTGTTTGGAAGGAAAGATGAGAGGAGAAGAGAGGAACGAAAATGTCTGCTGGGACCTTTTTTGTTTCTCTTTCTTCCCTTCTTTCCTTTAGAGCCACCTGCTCTCTCCTTACCTTTGCATCAGCAGCTNGCACACACATACACACACAAACACTGAAGCCACGAGTCTGAGAGGTCTCTCCGTTTTTATCTTTTTTTTGCTTTCTTGTCGTATTTGCTTGGAAGGAAAGATGAGAGGAGAAGAGAGGAACGAAAATGTCTGCTGGGACCTTTTTTGTTTCTCTTTCTTCCCTTCTTTCCTTTAGAGCCACCTGCTCTCTCCTTACCTTTGCATCAGCAGCTGAAATCAAATGCAATGCAGTGAAGTGTATGAATTCTCTGTGTGTGTGAGCTTGAGTTTGAGTTCACTCGGCCATGTGTATCGACTTTGTGGCTCTTATGCTGCTGTTGCTACCGTTTTCCTCTTTCACTTTCCACTGCGGTCAGGACGCGCTCTTGGCACCGATTTCAATTACCATTGCTGACCGGGCCTGCTCACTGTTGTTGCCCCTCACCACCACCGCCACCATCACCACCATCTTTTCTGCTGAAAAGAGCAGAGTGGGCAAAGAGAGTGGTACAAATTCTGAGCATTGAGCAAGAATTGTGTTTGCCTGACGGCGGATTGTGTGTACACACTGCTTGGTTGGCTGCTTGGCCAGTGGCTTGGTTATAACAACAAAAACTATGTGCACTGGCTTTTCCCTTCCCTTTTTGGTGGTGTGTTCACTTGAGCAGACACTGCTTCTGCTGCTGCTGCTAGGCAGACAGAACAAAAAAAGTTGTGAAATTGTTGCTGNTACCACCACCATCTTTTCTGCTGAAAAGAGCAGAGTGGACAAAGAGAGTGGTACAAATTCTGAGCATTGAGCAAGAATTGTGTGTGTGTGTTTGCCTGACGGCGGATTGTGTGTACACACTGCTTGGTTGGCTGCTTGGCCAGTGGCTTGGTTATAACAACAAAAACTATGTGCACTGGCTTTTCCCTTCCCTTTTTGGTGGTGTGTTCACTTGAGCAGACACTGCTTCTGCTGCTGCTGCTAGGCAGACAGAACAAAAAAAGTTGTGAAATTGTTGCTGGTGGCACACCACTTTCGTCTCCCCACCGCTCGCAGCCGTCCAGGCGACAAATCAGGCACCACCACCACCACCACCACGGTGGTCTGTTTTGCTGCTGCCCCAAAACACTTTCATTTGAGCCGTGTGGCGACAATTAGATTTGGGCTTCTTTCATTCCTTCTTTTCTCCACCCTCTCTCTTTCTCTCATTTGGAGACGCTTAATTAGACGCACTTGGTCGTGTCTAATTTGACGACTGCTGCGACGGCTGTTGCTGCTGTTGCTGCTGTTTTCTTAGCGCCGTACAGTCGTACAGCTGCTTCCGCCACGTTTGCTGTCCCTGCGTGTGCGACTTGATTCTCTCTCTCTTTTTTTTGTTGCTCCTTTTCCTACTTTCATTACCACCTACGCCCGTTAATTGCCACCCTCCTCGAGTTCAGGAGAACTCTCGATAACAACTAGTGTGTGTGTCTGTATTAGATTGCTGAAATGATCGCTGTAGTGCTGCTGGTAACAGTAGTAGCTGTAGTGTAGTGCACTAAGCGTCAATTTTGTCTGCTTCTGTGTAAGTTTTCTCTTCTTTCTCCCGTGTCTTGTAAGCCCGTTCATTTTTTGCACTCTAATTTGGTTCACTTGAACGGAGTATTTCTTCTTTTTTTTGGTCCTGTTCGGTTCTGCTCTGTTTTTGCTGTGTTGATTGAAGTGGTCGTGGTGGTGATGGTGGTCGTGGTAGTGTTTGTGCCAGTGTGAGCGCTTGTATCGGTGATGTTCAGAAGTGTAGTAGCTTGCAATTGCCACTTCTGCTGCTGCTACTTGGCTAGCTCATATTTATTAGGTTGCTGCCTCTGCCATCCCTCCCTCCCTCCTTGACTACTAATATTTCATTTTAATTGCTAATTTAATAATGCAGGCCGCTGCTGCTGCTGCTAACTTAATATTGATATAGTGTGTGAGTGTATTTGTGTAGCTGCTGCTGCTGGTGGTGGTGATAGTTATGATGATGATGATGGCGACGATGATGATGATGATGATGATGTTCAAAAGTGAAGGCAAAAGTGGCGACCTTGTTGATAAAGGAAAGCGCCAGAGTGCAAAAGATCCCTCCTCAATCCTCTGCTGCACTAGCTCCGCTGGGAAAAGGTGCTACTCGCTGGTTGGCAGGAAATCACAGCGCCAACTTGCGCTAGCTTCTCGTTTTCTTCTACTTGAAAGTGCCGAGAAAGAAGCGAAGCTTTTTGTTCTCCTGATTTTTAGCAGGAAAGGGATTTGCATTGAACGAACCGACGATGAAAGTGATTTGTCATTGGACTGATTAAAGTGTCTCGCTTTTCACTCTTTACATCTCTATCTTGTTCTTGCTCTCTTTCTTTTTCAGCTGATTAGCAATTCTGCATTTAATTAAATTCCTATGCTTCCGGAAAGTGTGTACTGCACATTCAATTCTGCAGTAGCTCTTTACACGCACTGGAATTTGTTTCAATTGCAGTCACCACCGTTCTTTGCTGCTGCTTTGCTTTTGTGTTAGCCAGTTTGTGTGTGTGTGTGTTTTAGTGGAGTTGTCAGGATAGCTTTGAGCCTGCATTTGAAAGCTGCTGCTGCTGCTGTTTCTGCGGAAGCAGTGTGTTTCAGCAGCAATACACACACACTGTCGACACTTTTAATTAGCCGAGTCTGTTCAAGGAAAAAAGTGCTACTGCTGCTGCTGCTGCCGTTCTTGGTAGAGGAGACACTCACACGAGTACTAGTTGTTCTTTGCTTGCTCGCACTTTTTTTTGCCGTGTGTGTGTGTGTGTTCAGGGTTTCTTTAATTCACGGCTGGCTCTTATGTTATTGGAAGTGGAGAGTGAACGAGAAGTGTGTAGGTTAAGGAGAATTAATGTTGTTACCTAGCACTCTTTGCGCGTTGCACCTCTGTCGAAACGTGAATCAGAAAGAGAGAACCGAAGCATTGAAAGCCTGACTGGCTTTAATGGTAGCAGAAGAAATGGAAAGAAGAAGAAGAAGTACAGTGAAGTGAAGAAATTGAGATTTGAGGTAAAGTAGTATGCTGAAGTGGTAAAGCAGTTTTTTGTGTTGCAATTCAGTTGCTCGCTCGCTCGCTCGCTCTTTTGGTCCGGCAGCGTAGATTTCCGCTGTCAGTGCGAGGGAGGAATGGAAAGGGGGAGAGAGAGTGGGCATTTGATATCGGGCCCATTTTTATTCATTCATTCATTCATTGGCTTTCACCACCACCACTGCTGCTGCTGCTGCTAGGTTTCCTTGGCTAGCAACTCTCCCTTAACTGTTAATAGTTAGAATGTAGGAGGAAGAGAGCGAGTGGAATAGATAAATTGTGCCAGTGTGTTCAAGGGAAGGCAGAGTACAGGTGAATAGAGAGGAAAGAGCCAGCAGAAGAAGAATATCCGCTTGTTTACCATACACAAACACAGTCAAGTTGTACGACTGTGTCTCTGCCTCTCTGAGCATCAGTGGTAGTCAGTTTTTTCTATCCGTGGTTGTGTGTGTGTTTATGTATGGCGCCCCGGGCGGCTGCTAGTGCAAAGTGCCTAGCTTCTGGTGGTAATTAATTACTCAGTAGGCTCAGGTCCTCCTCCTCCTCCTTCCTCCTCTTTCTCAAGCTGCACCGATAACACCACTTCTTTTTCTTCTGCTTTTTAGCAGCCTTAGGGTCCACTTTTTGCTATTTCTTATTCAAACCTCCCTCTCTCTCTCTCTCTCCTCTGAGCCTCACATTAATAACCATTTTTCTTTCTTCTCTCTCTCCCTCTCTTTAGGTGCTGCCATGCTCATTCTCCTGCTGTGCTTCTACATGCTGGTGGCGCACTGGTTCGCCTGCATCTGGTACAGCATCGGCCGCGGCGACTCGGAGAACCAGCTCACCTACAGCTGGCTCTGGAAGCTGGGCTATGTCACGCAGGTAAGTGGGGTACCATTTCAGTGACTTTGATTGAGGCAACTAGGACCGTTTGCCATTGGGAGCTTTGTTTACATTTCAAGTGTGCATCATTGTTTCATCCTTTTTTGGTGCAATAATCCGATTGTATTTCATCGTTTAGCAGAGTTTATTAATTACCAGTCAGGCTTTGTCGCTGCCAGTTTTTTGCTGCTTGTTAGCAGTAGCGAAGAGCGGAAAAAACTGCTGTCGTTGCCACTTTTTAGTGTGAGCAAAACACAGCCAAGAAAAATAGACGGTCCAGGCGGAAAAAAGTAACGAAAATATTGCCATATGATAGCGTCGGCAACGGCGGCGGCCACTGCACACAACGATTTCCTATGTGTGTTTTGAGAGTTGCTTTTTCTTGGTTGTGTTTGCCAATCAAACACACGCACTAGCAGCAGCAGCAGCAGTACTATCCAGGAGGATTCAATGTTGACGATTCGAGCGATTCTCTGTTTAGTAAAGAAGAGGATTCTAGTGCGTGTGATGCTGTTTGCCGCCGCCGCCGTTTTCTTGAGCGGAGTGCTGTGTATCACCAGCGAATGAATAAATCAACAGCGCCTCTCAAATCGCAGCAGATCGATTTGAGAGGAGGAAAAAATATTTGAGCAGAATTGCCTACAACTACTGCACTGTGGCCGAACACTGACAATGTGTGTGTGTGTGCTTCGAAAGCTACTAATCATTTCGAAGTAGCTTTTTTTCGGCCCTGAATCAGCGTGTTCTGCAGAACACACTGATACACCGCACTCACTGTTTTCTTTGCCTTTGCATTTGAAGAGAGTGCTCACTAAATTAGAATATTCACTGTGTTTGATGTACAATTTCGGAGGATTGAAGTCCTGGTTGTTTGGTTGGCTAGTCTGCAATTCAAATTAATTCGAACCTGTCAGAAGAGTGTTTGTGTGTGTCTCTGTTTATTGTGCACACTGAAGTGGTTGCCACCGACTACAACTGCAGACTTGACTAAATTGAGTTGTTGTTGTTGCTGCTGGAGATAGATGGAAGATGTTGTGTAGCAACGCTAAAGCGAAAGCATCGACTCCTTTTTATCCCGGGTGCACCTCTTCAGAACTGATCCTGGGCAGAGCAGGAGATTTGAATTTTGAATGACAGTGACAGCTGACTGACAAGATTCTTTCTATTTGAACACTCTTTTTTCCGCTTACTTTTTGGGAAGTGTTGACTAGTTTTAGATGATCCTCCAGTGATGACGATTCTTTTTCTTGCTTTTTAACTGATCCTGACTGAACACTATTTCTGCTCAGCTTTTTGTGCTCACTGCTTTTTGGTGATGATGAGAATGATGCGGCTGTTGCTGCTTTTCTTTTGTTTTTTTTGTTTTTTGCTACTCTCATTTCTGTCAGTTTCTCCACCTTCAGCCTAGCGCAAGTACTACTGACACAGACACAGCCATTGTTCTTCGCTAATTAATTAGACTGCTAGCCTGCAGTCGATTAATTAGACGTGGAGAGAAAGAATCAAGAGTACAAAGGGGTAATTTTCCAGAGAGTTGGGAATCTTTGTATCCGCTCTTTGGTCTCTTCTGACAAACTCCTCGTTTTCTGCTGCTTTTAGTTCTTTTCTTGATCATGTGCTGGGTGTTCGCCCCCGCCATCATTTCCAGGAAGGCAGAAACAGAGAATGTGCACTTTTCGCTCTTGTCTCTTTTCACTGTGCTTTAATTTGAGGATCCTGCTCCGGGATTCAAAGGATTATATGAATCTATTCTTTGCCCTCTTACTCTCTCTCTCTCTCTCTCTCTCTCTCTTGGAGAGTTGCCAGACGGTTTGAGGGTCTCTCTCTTTCTCGCTCGCTCGCTCTGTCAGATCTTTCACAGTGTTTTTCAGTCTTCTGCTACGGTAATTGAATTTGCTAATTATAATACTCATATTCTCGTCATAATAATAATACTCTCAAATCATCTCAGTCAATCATAAACTACCCGCCCTGAGAAGAGTGTTACCACTACTACCCCTTTACTTGCTCTGTACAGTGTCCTCCATCTGCTCCCTTCCAGCAGACACAATTGAAACGAGCACAGAACTTCCATTTTGGGGAAAGTAGTCGTCTGAAACTGCTGCTGCTAAAATGCTGAAAGCGCATTAGCAGGAAGCAGAGGCATTGCTCTCTCTTTCTCTCTCTCTCTTTTACGTTTACTTTGACTGCTCGATTTTTCTCTTTTTGCTTCTAAAACGACGCATCCTGGAACACATTAATGCGCGCTCGATTGAGTGTATGTGTAAGAGTGTCTGGTTCTGTTTCAGCAGTATAGTTTGGTTGTCTTTTTGTTCCTTGCAAGGTTTGCTCAGAATGTGTGTGCTAATTCTAATTGATTGCTTCTCTCGTATAAATCAAGTCTGAAGCTGCTGCTGCTGCTGTTTTTATCCCCGGTACTCTAGGCCCATTCACACCGGTGACACAGTGTCGCTCTTTCTCTCGCTCTTGCTCTTGCTGCCTAATCAACGAGTCAGGAGCCCAGATTAGTGCAGCAGCAGCAGCAGTTTGCTTTGAGGTAGCTAATTTAAGCTAGGCAATCCAAAAAGCAGGACAAAGAGCGAGACGAGATCAGCCTAGATTTTTGCCATCTTTTTTCCCTTTGGAATGGCTCTTTATCATGCTTTGCGCCAGTGCTGCTGCACTCACGCACAAGTTAATTGGCAAACTTTTTCACGCACTTGGACTTTGGACTTTATCACTTTGCTAATCGCGTCATTTTTCTTCTTCTCATTTCTCTCTCCCTCTTTCTAGAATCCATTCCACTTAAGGCCGAACAATGTGACGATGAAGTTAGAGCTGGAGGGCGGCCCGGACCGCTCGACGATGTACATTACCTCGTTGTACTTTACGATGACCTGCATGACCAGCATCGGCTTTGGCAACGTCGCCCCCGAGACGGACAACGAGAAGGTCTTCACCATCTGCATGATGGTCATTGGAGGTAGGTGCAGTTTTGTGGAGTGGAATGGAGTATAGTTTTGTTTGCTGCAAGTGCTTTCACTTTTAGCTCTCTTTATTCGAAAAAGCGAGTTTTGCTGCGTTATTAGGATGCTGTGCATTTGTTAGAAAGTGGTTCCCATCTTTTTCCGCTTTTGTGCTCTCTTTCTCTCCATTTTAATCAGCAAAAGTAACCGGTGGTGCGAGGCCCTTGACGACCCCACTAAAAAAGAGAGAGAGGAGGGGGTGGCCTTTTAACTGTGTTGATGCAAAGAGCAAATTTTTGCTAGAACATCAGCAGCGGCAGCACTTTGGTAAATTGAACAGTCTTCTCCTGCAAGTCCAAGCAGAATCAGACAGAGTGCAGATTAGACTACTGTGTGCTGTGTTATGAGCTACGCACACTTTCGACACGATCTGTCATGAGAAAAGAGAGAGAGAGAAAGAGAGGAAAGAAGGCATCTTCCAGTGCATTTTTGTCCGGGCTTTTAAAGTGTGTACTTCAACATTTTACATTTTTACAGCAGCGCTCTTTCAGTTTCACACACGTTCCTCATCTCTCCTCTTTTTCTCGGAACGATTCTTCCCTCAAACGATTTCTCGATTTCTCGAGTTGTTCGATGAGCACAAACGGTCGGTGTCGGCGGCCGCGGCGACGGCGGTGGTGGTGTTGATATTAAAAATTGTCTTGCCAATAACGTTTGACGAGGGAGAGGGAGAGGAAGAAGATGGAGAAGAGAGGCCATTAAAACTGGCCGTTGCTGTTGGCAGACAGGACAGGCGCTGCTCACTTTCGTCGCCGTCGCCGCCAGCATCAGCAGCACTTGAAGTGCCATCGGAAATAAATATTTATTCAGATATTCATAGCTTAGAGAAGAGAGAAGAGATGAAAGAGGGAAAAGAGAAAAGGAGAGGGGAATGAAGCACGTCTGCAGAAGCAGTAATGATTGGAGATGGGAGAGCGAGAAAGAGAGAGAGGAGGACCTGTCTGTTCAGCTTCAGCCGCAGCTGCTTAAGTCTGAAGTCTTCAGAGAGCAGAGACTGCGAGGAGAATCCTTGGGCCCGGGCGGCAAGGAAAAAATTAGGGCGCCGACAGAGAGGCAGTGTCAGGCAGACAGACCTCAGATGATGTGCAAGGGAGGGAATCCTCGTCTCATTTTTGTACTATTATCCTGCTGTTGCTGCTGCTGCTCCTTTTGCAATCACTGGCATCACTTCTCGACGATGATGATGCTGCGGCTGCTGCTGATGATGCTGATGCGGTTATGGCAGCGGCGGCGACCCAAATCTGACTGGCATCTTAGTCAGTCAGTCAGTAGTGCCCGAGAATCCATTTGCAATTTCACTTAGCGGCTGAAATAAGAAGAGTAGGGGGTAGAAGAGGAATCGGCGGACAAGGAGGGAATTTGGCTTTTGCTCTTTTTTGGAACGACCAACAGCGCGGTTTTTCAATTTTCACTTTTTTTCAATTTCATTGCATCAAATGTTTAGAGTAGGAATCAATGTGTGTGTGTGTGTGTGTGTGTGTGTGTGTGTGTGTGTGTGTGTTTGAGGCGGAGGAGCAAATTCATCCGTTTTTTGCCGATGCCTCGTTTCGTTTAGCCCCAGCTAGTTTTCTTGCAAAACCCCCTCCTTTTCGCTCTCTTCATATCCGTCCGACCGACCACTGCCGCCGCCGCCGCCAACGCTCACACGGCGAAAAGGAAAGAGAGTGCGGTTAANCTCGTTTTGTTTAGCCGCAGCTAGTTTTCTTGCAAAACCCCCTCCTTTTCGCTCTCTTCATATCCGTCCGACCGACCACTGCCGCCGCCGCCAACGCTCACACGGCGAAAAGGAAAGAGAGTGCGGTTAAATTGAAAAATTTCTTCTTTTTTGTCGTCTTCCTCTTTTCCTCCTCCTCCTCTTCCTCCCTTCTCGCGTTCCGATTCTCGCTTTAATTAAAGTCCGTGACTAGGTCGGCTGCTGCTGCTGCTGAATAACATGCTACTGCTCATCTTTGCTGCTTGTTGAATCCTGGTGCCGTGCTGTGTTCCTCTGTGCACACTGATGGAGCGACGATATCATCAGGCTGTCCTGCTGTGGAATCTCCTTGGAAATTGTTTTGTGCAAATCAGCCAGCCACCAGGCAGAGGGGACAGAGAGAGAGACAACTTTGCCAATTTGCCTAGTATATGAGTACTAATAAGTCAGCAGTAGTGGCGGTGGCGGACATTTTCTCAGCGGCAGTGCCATTGTTTTCTTAATTTCCGCTGCTCCTTAATTTAGCTGTGCTGCGAGCTCGTCTGTCTTTTTCCTCCGCCGCTGCTGCTGCTGTTCTAAGACTGGTCGAAGACGATTTTAATAATGATAATAATTCTAATGCACAGGCTTTTCAGTGCAAATTCTGAATCTAGATTCTTGCAGAAGTATTCGGTATTACCATCACCACCACTGCTGCTGCTGCTGCTACTCACACACACACATTCCCATTGATTGAATTAATTGAAGAATAGGGAGAAAGCCGCCGCCGCCGCTGCCTTGTTCCCCGGAATCCGCCGCCGCAGCGCCTGAATTTGCACTCGATTGGCGTGTGTGTGTTTCTGTATGTGTGTGTTATTAGCCTAGGCCGAACTTTTAACACGACGAGGACGCGGCGACAACACGACTGGCTTGCAGCGAGACAATTTACTCGCTTTCGCCTGCCTGCCTGCCTGAATTTGCAGCGGCACTTCCTACAAATTGTTACTCTTTTTAATTTAAATATCTCCACTTTTTGATGGTGGTGGTGTGGTGTTGGGGAAATATTTTCGACCAGCAGAGCTACTAGAGCCACCATTTCTCGGCCTAGGCGGCAGAAAATTAGATTACACGCAGCCACTTTTTGCAAGCTGTTTGTGTGTGTATGTGTGTGTTCAGTGGCAAGACACACGGTGCGTAAATTAAAGTATGTGATGGAATTTGCCAGTTGTGTAGTAGTGTTGGTTTAGTTGAGTTTAGTGTGCAGTGTGTTGCTCTTGGCCCTCGCACTATCTCTTCTTGCAAACTGACTGACTGACAGCTTCGCTCAAAGCAGATTTCCTGTGACTGTGTGGCTGGCTGGCTGGTTGGTAGCCCCTGGTGGACTCGGGGAGAGGAAAAGGAAGATGACTACTTGTCTTGTCTTGTCTTGTCTTTCGGTGAATTTCCCTCTTTGAATTTAAAGATGAGATGTGTGTTCTTTCTTTTTCCTCCTAGGGTGATTTGATTCAATTCCGCATGTTTTGTGTGAAGTGTGTGGTGTGGTAGTGGCTGCTGCTGCTGCTGCTGCTGATGCACACGTCGATTTCCTCTCGCCTGAAAGACTTTCTCTCTCATTCTTTAATTTACGGGCTACTCTCTACTTCAGCGTTCTTCTTGGGTACACTTTTTCTTTTCTTTGTATTACCTCCCTCTTTTCTTGAGTGCTCATCAGCTCTCTCTTTAGTTCTTCTTGACACGAATTAGCCATACACACAGATGGAGAGATACACTATTGCAGCATTGACTTGCCTGCATTGTTTGGGCACTGTTTGGACTTTTTCTTCCTTCNTTTCTTGAGTGCTCATCAGCTCTCTCTTTAGTTCTTCTTGACACGAATTAGCCATACACACAGATGGAGAGATACACTATTGCAGCATTGACTTGCCTGCATTGTTTGGGCACTGTTTGGACTTTTTCTTCCTTCGCTTTTTGTTGCCTACACTCTTGATAAGCTCAAATCCTTGGCTAGGCTGCTGCTGCTGCTTCTACTGATGTCGTTCATGTCTTCGTCGTCGTCCTCTTTGCAAAGGGTAGTCGTCTTAGTGACGGAGAGTGACTTGTTGTCTCCAGAGGACTGATCATCAAGTTTCTTAATTGGCGAACGAAGAAAAGAGGAAAGGACAGAAACAAAAGTGAGCAAAAGTCGCCGTGGTGACAGTCTCTGTCCCTCTTTTTCTTTCTTTCTTTCCTTCCTTCTCTGACTGTTTGACATCTTCGCTCGAGTCCTCGTCCTAATTGGCGCCAATCCGCCAGCAGCCAGCCAGTGAGGGCGACATTTTGTCTCATCAACAGCAGCAGCAACAAAAAAAGTCAACGAATAAAAAGCTGCGTCAAAGAGAGGCTCAAAGCGTGTGTGTCAGGCAAAAGCCGATTTGAGACGAAAAAAAATGCAGCAAATAAGACAGATTTTGATCAGCTCCAAAAACTCCTCTAAAACCTAAATATAACCTCAATCTAATTTTGCATTTACTTCTCCTTCTTTCCATTAGCCCTCCTCTACGCGACCATCTTTGGCCACGTGACTACGATCATCCAGCAGATGACCAGCGCCACGGCCAAGTACCACGACATGCTCAACAACGTGCGGGAGTTTATGAAGCTGCACGAGCTGCCGAAGGCGCTCAGCGAGCGGGTGATGGACTACGTCGTCTCCACCTGGGCCATGTCGAAGGGCATCGACACGAAGAAGGTGCTCAGCTACTGTCCGAAGGACATGACGGCGGACATCTGCGTGCACCTCAACCGGAAGGTCTTCAATGAGCACCCTGCCTTTCGGCTGGCCAGCGACGGCTGCCTCCGGGCGATGGCCATGTACTTCAGCATGGACCACTCCGCGCCCGGTGATCTGCTGTACCACGTCGGCGAGTCGATTGACTCGCTGTGCTTTGTCATCAGCGGCTCGCTGGAGGTCATTCAAGATGTAAGTGTACAGGCCAGATTTAGTAGACTGATTGGACTTGACTTGGCTTTCAGGAGGAGGAGGTTATTAGTAGCCCTTGATCTCTTGCTCTTTCTCATTTTTGGCGTCAATCTGAGTTTTATGTTGTTTGTGCTCGCTCTGTCACCGCCACTTTCTTCTTCTTCTTCTT